TTGATGACATGAATATCAAAACAGATATCCACAGTGAACACAGTTGACACGGAGGATGTAAGAAGAAAAATCATACTTCTTTATTGAACTCCCTGTATTTTGTACTTTCCAGTGAGTCTTACCTCACCACACATTAAAGGGGACGACACTGAAATAGATACAGATGGTTTGTACCTGACACTAGGGGTGCTGCAGTGAGGCAGTGACACTGTGTAAACACACTATGACATTAAGTGGTGCAGACTATAAAAAAAAAAAAAACAAAAAAAACAAACATACAACTTGTACACGTAGATGTTTGGCAGCACCTGATGACGATGCTCAAGAGATTTAAATAAGACCTCGATTTTTAACTCTGCTTTGGTTGAAAACGTGTCCACCGACAGTCGGACGTGATATATTATTCTGTTGAAAAAAGAACTCCACGCGTTTCACAGTTTGTTGAAGCTCGTTGAGTTTGCCGGAGCTGCATCTGGAAGCAATTCAAACGCACGTCTTCCTATAATTTTCTCTGATGTGTCTATGAGGGTGAAGGAGGGAGGAAGGTGAGTGAGCGTTTGTGTTCGTGTGGTGTGGATGGATAGCTGCATTGGGGAAATACAGTATATACACATGTACATTTAAGAAAATAGCTTCTTGCATCAGTCTGTTTCAGTTTCAACCTCGCACAGGCTTTGTTATGTACACTATATTACACGTAATGACTCTGGATCCTACACATGACTCAGGACATGTGTGACGTAAGAAGAATCCTCCTCATCAGTCCGTCATGTAGGTCTACAGCCTGCATATTATCAGCTTTTTACACATCTTAAAAAGATAACCAAAGATGTGAGCAGGTTTTTTTTTTGCATTTAATGTACACAACCGTGAAATCAGTCCTCACGGCAGCAGCTGCACACGTCACCAGAGTTTATGGGTTCGGGACATTCTGCTGATGTAGTCCAGGGACGCTGCTGGATGCTTCAGGGGGAGTTTAAGGGAGGAGAAGGGGGCGCCGGGCTCGGGCTGGGAGACGGGACAGATTTGGGCGACGGATGACAACTCCCTGTGTCTGCTTCGTCCTCCTCTCTGGCTCCTCTTCCTTTTCCTCCCCCTTTCCCTCCACCCGACCCGTGGCCCTCCAGCCCCTCAGAGTTCTCCAGCATCTCCTGGATGAGAGGAGGCATCGAGCCGGGTATCTCCATTTTCAGGGTGATGACTCGCTCCGCTCCTGTGAGAAAGAGGCGCAGAAGGAAAGGTCAGGACAGCAGCACCGTATCACAAGTGTGTCTCTAATTCAAGCACAGTGAGCGCTGTGATGTGTGCACATCGGTCTCACCCTTCACACTGATGCTCCTGAGGTCAGTGATCTTCATCAGTATCTTGGG